CCGCTCTTGCAGGCACTCGTACTCTTCCTTCCTGTGACAAGTAGGAAGAGATGTGAGTAAAGAGCACTTTGATGGAAAGGTCTGAGGGTCACAGATGAAAGTTGCTCTGCAGGCTCCCTTGATGTAACTTCTCTGTGCCCAAAAGACAGCTTCGTGGCACAAGGGAGGGCTAACCAGGGAATACAGATCTCTCTGACCGTTTCCTTCTTTTCTGTATCTTGTCCTTCCCTGCAGTGATGATGACTTTGACATGTCCAGATATTCCTCCTCGGGATACTCATCAGCTGAGGTGAGTTATACTCTTTCCTGCCACCCTTGCCATGGATGCTAATAGTAGAGCAGCCAGAAAAGGCTTAGAATGGCCTTGTTCCGCCAACAATGGCTACACAAGGAATTTACCAGAGGTGTAGTCTCTGTGAGTCTGGAAGGGGCCATGGCAGAAACTGCGTCATGTTTCTTTCTTCCCTGGTGATCCGGTTGGCTCCGTCCACACACTACTGTGGCACAAACACAGATCTGCCCATCGGCTGTTTTCACAGCTACCTTTGGTTTCACTGAGGCTTTTCCTAGTTCTGCTTAGTCCTGCAGTGTTGGCCCATGTGGTGCAAAAGCATCAACTTGTCTGTCACATCAGCTCAGCAACTGTGTGCTTGCCAAGGACACAAAGAAAGGATCTGAGGATGTGCTGTGATTTCCAGTTCTTGGGGCGGGTCAGGGTCACTCGGTGCATGTTTGCTTGCAGCAGGCAGAAATTCCAGGAAGGACTTGCAGATGCAAAATCATGCCCTTTCAAAGAGAAAAGGCAGGAAACTCAGGCTTGTTAATCTCTCTGCTTTGTTTCTGAATATATTCCCAGGCTCTCATGAATTCGTTGCTCAGCCTTGGGCAACTGCTTCTATGGGATCTGATTTTACATCCAGGGTGTTGAGCAGTCATTCTGCACACAAGGTGCTGGGAACTCTTTCCTCTCGTTTCCTTGGGCAAAATACCTCTGAAGCACAGAGGAATGGCCAAGGGCAGGGACCATATCAAATTATCTGGGCCGCCTCTGGGCGCTGATGAAGTGTTGTTCACCCAGATCTGGTTAGACAGCACTTGAACCTGAGATTGCAAAGAGTCAAGAGGCTTTACCACCTTTTAACTGCTATAGTGTGCTCCAGACTGAGAGGAGGGACTGCCCAGATGCCAGTGGTTTATTATCATTATTACATGACTTTAAAGGAGGGCTTGTCTTAATGGAAAGATTATTCCAGAATAAAAGAGTGTATTGACTTGCTACTCTGGAATATCTCACTCTAGATATTCCTATTCTGGAAGAAGCTAGAACAACGGAAGGCAGCTCTCACCTGTGATCAAAACTGGGACTTTTTCATTGGTAGGGTGGATGGACAAATATATTCCAAAATAAGGGACCTACGTCATCTTCTGACCTTCAGAAAGAAGTGTCAAGTGTTTGACTGTTTGTCTCTTTGTCTGTAGCAGATCAACCAAGACTTGAACATCCAGCTGCTAAAGGATGGGTACCGGTTAGATGAGATCCCAGATGACGAAGACCTCGACCTAATCCCCCCTAAATCGGTCAACCCTACCTGCATGTGTTGCCAAGCCACCTCCTCCACCGCCTGTCACATCCAGTAGTGAGGCCAGCAGGCTGTGATCAGTGCTTTCCACTATAACTGTAAAACTTAACAGCCATTGCTTCCTCCTATGGTAGGACGTGCACCTCTTTGTGTTCATGGAGCCAGGAGAAACCAAAAAATTCATTTTATGATTGGTTGATAAGTTATTTTAAACTATGGTTAAACAAAAGAGAAGTTGCTCTAAGTGCCAGGCAGTGCCTGGCAGAACTGACTGGTCTGGAGAGCGAATGCGGAGGGTTCCAGAGATACCTCCTTGATTTGTGTAGGCACTGGGGATATTTTTTAATGTGTCTGTTCCAGAATGAGAAGGGTCAGGTGGGGCTGCAGGTAATCCTGCCCACTGAAACCAATCCGTCTGTGAGATCAAGGATGAGTCTGAGGTGTCAGGGGGTTTTACCAGTCGGAGGAGGTCAGTTCCTAATTCATTCACTAAACCTGTCTCATTTGCATAACCAAAATGATACTGTAACTGGGGCACGGGAATGGGAAGGGAGCAGGGCATCCTTTCTTATGGCAAGGCTAGCCAGGACTAGCATGACACAATTCATTCACTTGCGAAGAGGACAAATAAGTAGCATTTCACTAGTACTAGCTAAAGCTGTCGCGTCGCATATCCAATGCAATCTACCCTTAGCTCCACATCAAATTATCACCATCTGCAATCCAGCCATGCTCTTCAGGGATTCAGTCCTTGCCCAAGAATACCGTACTTCTGAGTTCAGTCCAGTCACATGTACTGCTTTCAGCCTATACTTAATTCCCAGGAGTCCCACCTGCTTCCAAAAATCTTAAACTTTGTTTGACTAACAAAAAATGAGTCCTGCATGAGACTGCACTCAGAGCTGTACAGTCTGAAGGTCAGTGCTGGAAAAGCTAGTTGAAGAAAGCACGTTTTTACAGTGCTTGACTGTTGATACTCTCTTGACACTGCGTCTCTTGGCGCCTGTTAACGCTGAAGGCATCTGTGTGGTGGTGTCAGACTTTAGGGGAGTTTTCAGCAACTGCAGGATTATGAACAGCCTCAGCTGAAAAAAAAAACATGAGAGGAAACTGCTGCTTATCCCATCTCTGCCCATTTGTGAACCAGGCTTAGTCTGTATTAGAGCTGTCCCATGTCGGGAGCAATTGTGTTTATTTCATGCTGGAATAATCAGGAAACATGGCATTACAGTTGCTGGACTGAATTGCCAGTTCACCAGCAGGTTGTTTTGAATGCAAAACCATTTCTGGAATTAGGAACCATGTCCTCTCCCTGTCTTGTTTTACACTGCTGGCTTCAGCATATATGGGGATCAGGTGAGGGATGGGCTGGCATTTTTCTCGGTGTTGAAATCTTTTGCCACAAGCACGACTGTGTGTTTTCCTGCCCTGCCAGGAGGAAGGACTGCCTGCCTTGGGTCATCACTTGCTTTATAGCCTAGGGAAGGGAAAAAGTGAGGGCAATTCTGAGCTTCCCCTCAGAATTCCTGAATCACAAGATAGACTCTGAGCTCCACCTCAACAGACAGATCCCCACCTGAAATCTGCATGAAGTGAGCTGAGTCTTTGAAAAGTCCTCTTCATGATTGGAAGGAGATTTATGTAACATCCTGGGGTTTCACTCTACCCAGTGCAAAGCATGATACCATCCACAGCATGAGTGAAATCGCAGGCACGAAAGATTCCTGGGCTTTATTATTCCTAGCTGGTATGGGCAACTGTTAAAGCTATGTTTGCCCCACCTCCCTAAAACAGCACGCCAGGCCACTGAAAGAGAACCAGTGGTTCTCTTTACTGAGCATCCCTGCCTCCTCATGCAGAAGTGCTCATTAACTTGACAGCCCCTTTAGGAACAGTGTTCCTCAAGTGAATTCTTCTCCCTTTCTCACCACTGGGTAATACTGAGGAGGAGTATTTCTAAAATGTTTCTGAAGAAGGACAAAGCATTGGGTCTCCAGTTCTTTGTTTCTTCCATCGCATGTCTGCTTTCCTCTCCAGTGCTAGCTCAGGTTGAGGTTAGCAAGTTGTCTGGAGGTGGGCGAAGAGCTTTAACAACGCTGTGTAGAGAGAAAAGATAAAAGGGAAAAAAGATTCCTTAAGGAGTCTTTTTTTTTAATGGGGAATGTAGTCAAAACCTAACAGAAATGCCATGATCAAACCAAATCCTATAGGACATGACTGAGTCTCTTTAAATCTTCTTTCTTCTGAAGAGGGACTTTGCAGTTCAGCATTGGTACGATGCAACGTCTTCGCATCTTCATTGCGTTTATCCTCCTGGGTCATTCTCTGTGCCTTCCAGCCGGGCTGCACACACTCAGCCTTTCCCACGGCTCTTGCTCAGGAGCTCAAAGCATTTCAGTGTGCCTGCTAGAGCAACGAGGCCTCTGTTTACATGGGTCAGCCGTGGAGGACTGCAGGTCCCACAAGTCTCCACCATGCTGCCATCATGTTCAGTCTAAGACAGAATGAGGCTTGCTGACACTGTATCTCCCAGGGTTAATGACTCCCCTCTGACATACAGACCTTCCCAGATAGCCACTGCCCCATGGCACCACAACCAGGTCCTTTTATTGCCCCTGTTGCTGTTTTTTGCCTGCCATGTGCCCTGAGGCGTTCCTTAACCCTGCAACCCTGTCACTGCCCTCAGCCCTTTGCATTGTGTGATATGCATCTGCTTCTAGCACAACCCTTTAGGGAGAGAGGGAGATGAATTTAAATGTTATACCCAGTGCTTCCTCCAAATACGGACTGAAGCACAAGCCAAGCATTTTTCCCTGCACACAGAAGGAGTTGGTTGCACAAATAGCTGGTTTGGCGTGACAGTACAGGACCATAAAATGGCAATTTTTTGGCTTCTCCTCTCTATGCTTTGTGTTCATATATTTTATTAGGGGAATAAAGTAGAAAGGGTGGGGAAAAGTAGTTACCTGTGTAGGGTCGTTATCAGGGAGGCTGAACGGATTAAGGCAAGGCACATGTGGCTATCATAGAAAATTGAACACTAACTCTTCTGAACCACAGCCCCTTAAGTAGCTTATGACCATGAGGCATGTTTGTTGGCTCGTTATGGAATATGATGGACAGCCTGTCAGTTTGTGTTAACCACAGATTGCTCTGGATCCCCCTGTCTGGTCTCATGCTGTGCCCTCATTGGAGGTTACACCGTGGTGACTTCCCAGGAAAGTGTATAGATACATGACTGTTCTGGCACTGCTCTCCTTCGACCAGTCTCTGCCGCAGTGGTCTGGAGAAGGCAAAAGCAAAGAGCACGGACCCTGACTCTCTGTCACAGCATTATAAAGCCCTAAAATCTGCAGAGCTGCTGGGCATTCTAAATGCAGATTGCATGCAAGAACACAAATCATTCCTTGTTCCAGTCTTTGCACCAAACCAGATGGTCTTCTCAGGCCCTATTTTCAGTCCAAAGCTATACAGAATACCAAGGAGAGGAGCACCATGCAGTATGAAAGGCTGCATTGCTGTCCATCTAAATTACCATGCAAACAGGATTTAGGGATATTGATGCTGGTGACTCCACAAAGGAATTTGCATTTGATGCCTCCTAAAGCCAGACTAGCTTTTTGTTAGAATTTTATGTCATTTCAGTCACCAAACTACAGGAGTTTAAGTAGGTCTTTTCCAACCTAAACGAATCTATGATTCTGTAAGTCCGTTCCTTTTATGAGATGTTAATTTTGCCCTTTAGTATGAGCTGGCTTTGAACACCAGGGTCTCAGCACTCAACTCTGTCTCTCTGGTCTGCAAACACCCCATTTCCAGATGTCTGTGTGGGAAGGAACATACTCCTAGGGTTGAGGAAGGTCTTTAGATAGCGTAGTCTAGTCCGCTTTTCTGATGATTGTAAATAAACTTCGTCTGAAAGGAGACTGATGTCCAGACAGCCATCTCAAAGGCTCATTTGATGTCTTATCGGACATCGTATCTTGAAGCCAACCCTTGGAAGAGCCACTGGATGATATCAGATGTTGCTGTATGTCACCCCCAACATGTACTCTTGGCCGTTGGGTCTGCTATGCTGTTCTGGCTGTCTTGCCTGCGGATGCCTTACGACTGCAAAAGCAGGTGACCAAGCCCGCTGCATGGACTTCGAAAGGGACTTCAGGATGCTCCCTCATGGACAGGATGGACTCAGCTGCTTCTGGTTTGTCTCTCGAGCTCCTTTCCCAAAAGGAGGCACTTGCTGTGCTCAGCTGTGTGCTGGCTGACAAATTTGCCTGCAATCCTGAGCAGAATCCTTTTCTCTCCATGCAGAGTCTGTCCTCGGGCTGGCCTGCAAGCTGTACAACAGCATGCAGGAGACTTGAAAAGTACAGTGCCCTGTATGTGACTCAACAGAAAAATGAAGATGCTTTTGAAGAAAGGAAGGACCCAGCTGGGCACCAGATGGAACAACAGGAAAAGGAAAACAAGCAGTAACTAGAAAGGTTGCCAAGTGCTGTCTTGGCCTAGGGCAGATCCCAGTTGTCCGAGTTAATCTGTCTCAGCGCAGTGCTGAGACCGGCAGGGAGCAAAGCTCGCTTTCAGATGCACACACCAGAAACACCGTGTACCTCAGCTGGCACTGCAACCAAATACTACCGTAGAGAGACTGCTGGACTGTTAGAGCAGAGAAGTGAGATCTGGGGTCCCTTGCTGCTGTTGGCACATGTACACATTTGCCCTGACCTCGAGCAAGTCGCATCCCCCTTGATGTCCATTCCTTTCTGCAGTGCAGGGGAGAAACCTGCCTTCCCAAGATGCTACCACCAGCCTGCATGGATGTTGCCAAGTGTGTGACAGGCAACACTGATAGGATAGTTCTGCAAGTAAGATGCAAAAAGCATGCTATAGAAATTTTATGCATATTTTCAAAGTACTACTCTGCTTTCCCTCTGTTTACCAGCTTCTGATGTTGCTTGCATGTGCCAGAAGGCTGCGGGGGTGGAGGTTAGTAGAAAGATTAAACAGCTTTGGGGAAAGATGTTTGGCAAGGATGTGTTCCTCAGTTATTTGGCAGCTGGCTCTCGTACAACTGGCATCTCAATCCGCATGCTGCCACAGGGAACATGTAAGAAGAATTGGTGGCCCAACAGCACCATCCCCTGCTAGGAATTAAGGAACATAGAACTGCAAC